GCGGGGCGGGGCGGGCCCAGAGCGCCTCGGCCTCCCGCCTCCCGCCTCCCGCCTGCGGGCCAGACCTGGGCGGGGACAGAGCGCCCCGCGGCTCTCTGCTCTGCCGGTGGCTTAGAGTGGATGGAGTGGACAAGTGCGTGTCTCTACTGGTGTCAGGGGAGGAGGAGGGTGTTAGGAAGTGCTTGAGTCATGAAAGCCCTAGTTTGGAATTAAAGAAAATCACATAGGTGTGGACGCTGTCCGGAAGCGCGCGGCTCACTTCACCGCACCCAGCCTTTTCAGCAGTTTCTTGCCTTTGGAAAGCAGCCCCTTTTTCTTTTTCGAGGACATTGCCCTGCCTCTCCCGGGACTACCAGAACCCCTGGATGACGTAGGTGACCCCGAATGGAGGTGGCCTGTGGGGGATGGAGCTCTCCTTGCTGGCCCTGAACCCTCAGGAGGAACCTAGTAGGTACATTGTGACAGTTTATTGAGAGCGTGAGCGCCACCAACACCGAGCCACTCGGCCGCCCCGCGCCGCCCCGCCCCGCCCCGCCGTGGGAAAGGAAGGGGTCATTTCTTCTTTCAAGGGTCAGCGTGCGCCTGGCCACGCAGCACACCCCTCGCCCAAAGCAGCTCCTGCGGCCTTGGCTTGGGAGAGGGGTGGCCGTTGCTTGGCAAACAAAACTAGGTCTCAACTTACTCTGCAAATTTGGACCGAGAGCGGGGAGCTACTGGAGTCAGATTGATAGTGGGGTTGACCGAGGGCCCCTCGGTCAGCTTAGAAGGGAATTTGGATGCGTTTGAAAACTACTTTGGTTACAATAACCCCTGCCAGTGTTGAGTGCACTCTTGGGTTGCTTAGAAACTATAGAAACATTGGAGATGGCACACCGGTTGAAAGAAAAAAAAGAACTGAAATGAACCTTAATCACAATCGAAGAAAGCTTAAAGGCCCTTATTGTATGTTTTCGCTATTCCCAAATAATTGAGCGGGATTTTCTCCTGGTGTGTAGCTCGGGGTGCGTTTCTGTGTTCCGTGCTGCCGTGCGGTAGCGGCATTTCCACGGCCGTGACCCCTCCTGCACGGGAGCCTGGGCGCGGCCCACAGGCCCCTGCACACCCGGAAGCGAGCATCTGTGTTTGGCAGGCGGACGTAGCCCGAGGGGCCTCAAGCTTGCTTGGATTTGGAATCAAGGTCTAGTTCTAATGGAAAACACCTAGGAGTGCGTCCCGAGCACACCTGGAGGTACGGGCTTCCCTAGTGCGATCACGGAAGCTGTGCACGCCCGAGGCGTGGGCTGTGCTGGCGCCCGCGTGCGGCCGCACGGTGCGCGCACGCTGCGTGTGCTCGGCCGAGGGGCAAGGCAGCGGCATGGTCACTGCGCGCCGGGCCAGCCCGGCCACCGCGGCCGCCCCTCGTCTGCTTCATCTTAAATGAGAGGGGGGCTCTGGTCTGGTTTCAAAGTAAAACCTTGTCTAGTAAACATACGGTAGGTTGTGCTTTGTTCGGGAGTGGCTACAGCGCCACGCGCGGCTCGGCCTCGGAGCACAGTGAGCACTCTCTATGTAAACAGACAGCTCGCTGGGCAAGAAATATGTTCCCAGTGTCGGCCTTCCCAATAGTGGGCGGGAGTCCCAGCGAGGGCAGCGAGGAGCAGCTCCACTCCACGTTCAGTTGCTCCGCAACTGTGCCCCGTGGCAGCCTAACCCTGTGGCCCGCGGCTCTGAGACATATTTCTTGGTTCTCTCTGTAAGCCCACAGCGAAGCCTTAAGGCTACCGCACTGGTCCGTGTCGGCAGCTTAAGTCGGGCTCTCGCTAGGCGTCTCCGCTGCTCACTTACGTGAAGGCTACATGCCTGCTTAGGGTGTGAAATGAACGCTCTTCTTCTGTGTCCAAGCGGATGACGGAGAAATAAAAATACAGACGTAAAACATGACAGGTAGGAGCTCGCGGCGATGGGCAAAGCAAAGATGAGACAGCTCGGATGCGTGCCGCAGGCGGTGCGTGCCGCAGGCAGATGCGAGCGGGCCCTGCCGCGGTGCCGAGCCGGGCTCCACGGAGGGCGGGCGGGCGGGCGCCCAGCACTCTCCGTCACCTGAGCTGTGCGTCTGTCATGTGGGGTGGGAGGAGGGCCTGGGGCGGGCAGCCTGGCGGGCGCTGCGGGGTCCCTGTGTGTGCGGGCACTAGCGACCTAGGCAGCGCCTGGGCGGGCACAGTGAGTGCGAGAGAGGCCCAGGAGGCCAGGAGAGGGCGAGGCGGGGCTAGGGGGGGCGGCTTACCCTTTTGGCCTTGGCGTGCAGGGCCGGGTCTTGAGAGCAGACGGACGGGGCATCGGAAAGGTAGACCTCCACGTCCTCAGGCACTTCTTCCAGGAAGTTGGAAGGCACCAGGCCTCGCTGCCCGTTCAGCTCGCCCTGCAATCGCGGGGAGGAAGGCCGGGCTGGGCGGTGGGGTGCTGGGACCCACAGGGTGTGGGGTCCCTCGCACGGATTACCATTCTTACAACCTTGGATCTTTAACTGGAATGTTTAGGTAACTGCCCTGTTCTGGTAACTGGTTTATTTAGGTTCATCTGTCCTGTGCTCCGCACTTTCTCCCCGACCCTCCTTTCTTAAGTTTCCTTTTTTTATCATCCTGGTTTTCTTTTGGTGGTCAGCACTGGGAGGCACGGGGCAGCGCCCCGCCCATCGCTGGCTGCAGCAGGTGCGGTTGCAGGGGTATCCCAGGAGCCAGCGTGGACCCCTCCCGCGACCCCACAGCCTCCAAGCCACAGTGCTCCTACAGCTGATTCCTGTCCTTGTCCCCAAGGACGCCATCACCTCACTTAGGTACCTCCAGCCCCTGCTGGCCTCGCCTCCTGCGTCTGTCCAGAGCGGGGCCCCTGTGCCCACCGGGGGGGCCAGCCTGCTCTCCACCTCATCCCCACAGTGTCCCCACTTGTGTCAGACCCGGCCCTAGAGGTGGGGCCTCAGAGTGGGATCCAGCCCCCGGTCCCCTTCAGGGAGGCCACCTGTCTTCTGCATCTAAGCATACGCTGGTCACCCTCTGTGCACATCACTGACGGTGTGCGGGTGACCAAGCTTCGTGGTGAGCACTTGGCTAGCGTCACATGACCCTGAGTTCATGGCCAACACCAAAAAGTATGTAAACGGGCACATTGGGATGTAGTGGTGCTGGGCTGTGAGGGACCACAAAAGGGGTAAGTGGCTGTGGGTTGTGTAGACTCTGGTGGTACAGGGAGGAGAGACAGTGGTGGGAGCAGACCCTTAGGAGGAGGCACACAGGGGCCACACGGGACAGTACACTGTAGTACTGGGACCGTAAAATGCCTGGAGGTTGACTGGTGCGCTTGTATGCGGCAGGGAGCAGGACTCCTGACAAATCCAGCGGTTCCAGCATCCAGCAGGAGGTCCTCTGCAGTTGTTTATCAAATTGCAGTGATGGGGCCGGGGAGATGGCTCAGTGGAATAAGCGCTTCCCTGGCAAGCGCAAGGGCCTGAGTTCAATCCCCAGTTCCGCCAAAAAAAAAAAAAAAAAGAGAGAGAGAGAACAAAAAACCAAGATTGCAGTGATGAGGGCATCTGGCCAGGTGTGCACTACATGACCTTGAAACTCCTGGAAGCAGAGCCAAGCCCGCAGTGCCACAGGACACAGGGGAGGTGACACAGGAGCTACACCACAGTGTGGGAAAGTGGGAGAGTGCTTCTGAGCCCCACCAAGCACCCCTTCCAGTGTGGTCTGGACCATCTACAGTCCAACTGTGTTTATAGGTACAGCTCATGTACCTTTTCTGAAAACCAACTCAGTAAGATAGCTGCTTAAGCAGATAACCCCTTTTGCACAACTATATCCTGTATGGTGAAAACAAAGAGTCTAAGGCTGCCTCTAGGAACCCTCCAGTGGCAGTGCTGGCCGCCCCGCCGCTGCACTCAGACCTCCCGGAGAGCTCATCAGTGACTCCGACTGGTGCTGATATCAAAAACCACCACAAAGTCACTCAAAAGAGCACAGACCAGTAGCATTTCTGGAACACAAAAGGAGCTGCCCAAGAAAATGCTAACAAGCCAGGTGCAGGGTGCATATCTGCAATCCCAGCACTCGGGAGGCTGAGGCAGGACACAGCGAGCTCAAGGCCAGCCTGGGCTGCACAGAGAGACCCTGTCTCAAAAAGGCAAATAAAAAAAGAAAAGGGGGGGGTAAAAGTCAACAGATCAAATCCAGTGTTTTAAAAATAATTATAGACCACAGTCCCCAACTCACTTAAAAACTAAGTTCAGTGACCTAAATCGGAATGCCCCTGCCCTGTATGAGGTCTTCACATTTAACTACACCCAGCTTCGCTCTTTTTTCCTTCGTAAAAGCATCTCACTAAATCACCCGAGCTGGCTTGAACATATGCTCTGCCTGCCCAGCTAGCCAGGGGTGGGCTTGTAGGCTAACTTTGTTGATGATCTGGTCTGTAAATAATAAATATATAATACTGTAAAAGTGTGCGTTTACTTGTTACTGACTTACATGAGAAGTCACAATGACCCCAGAATCCTTCCTAAAGTTGTTCTAAATGAGGCTTTGAGACAGGGAAGAGAGAGAAGGTACAAAGCAGTGAAGGAGACAAAGCAGCTACCAGCTGAGCAGCAGACACAGTCAGAAAACGGCGTGGGGAGCGCGCACGCTTCCACCATGTCTTCTAACCCACCGACAGAACACACACCGGGAAAACCCTTGCCAAGAGCAGTGGTTCCTAAGGACGAACTCAAGAAGTGCCAAGGATGTGCAGGACAGAGCCGCGAGCCTCGGCTAGGTGGCGGCGAGTGAGGGGAGAAGGCTGTGCCCACACAGTGCTGGGCAGCACCCTGGTGTGTTTCTTTTGTTGTTGTTTTTGTTTGTTTGTTTAGTTTTTGGCAGAACCGGGGATTGAACTCAGGCCCTTGCCCTTGCCGGGGAAGCGCTCCACTGAGCCATCTCCCCGGCCCCGAAGCACCCTGTTCAACCTCAGATGGACCCAGATGTCTGAGCACGAGACTGGGCTCATGTGTGTGCTGTGCACGCATGCGTGCATGTGTGTGTGTGTGTGTGTGCCGTGTGCGTGCACACAGGTAGCGAAGAGTGGGGTGGAACACACAGGAGGAGGAGGAGGAGGAATTTTTCAAGTAAGGAGAAGACAGATTGCTTAATAAATAAATGGTCTCTCTAGCCGGTTCTCACCCGCTGATCTCATTAGACAGAGGTCAGACTGCCGTCTACATGCGAGACAACAGCGGAAGATGGGAGAGGCCAACCACAACAAGCGAGGGATGGTTCAGGCCTCGCCCTAGGATGGCTCTATTCAGTGCCATCAAAGCTTAATTTTTGCTGAAGGGAACAACAGGCAAGTGCAACACACACACACACACACACACACACAATACACAGTTCAGGAGCTGAGGGTGGCTCAGGCAGAGACGGAAGCGCTGGTGACAGGCATCACTAGCACCATGTCCCAGGAGACACAAGGCACGGAGCAGCAGAGGCCATGGGCCCACCCTGTCCCAGCCTCCATCAGCAATGGGGTGGGAGCAGGGACATGAGGCCTGGGGCGTGCCAGCCCAGCATGGTCCACTCACTCCAGAGAAGAGAAAAAGCTTCACAGGGTGGAGGCCAGGAGGGGCAAGGACTGACTGCTCCAGGGGTCTGTGACAGAAGATCTGAAACCTGTGCTCAGTCCCAGTTCTTAATTTCCTTACACAGCAATTCCTGAGGTGGGCATGAAGGTGTGGTCGCTGCCTGCAACCACAGCGCTTTGGGAGGCTGAGGCAGGAAGATCCTAAGTTCTGGCCCACCCTGGGATGACTTAGCAAGTTAATGAGACCTTGTCTGAAAAAACAAAAGAGGCAGGGGATGAACTCGGGATCAATGCCCTGTGCTCCGTTCCCAGTACCCCACCCCCAAAACTTAAAGAACGGAATCTGATAAATTTTACATGCGGCAGCTGGTGAGGGCCAAAGCAAGCCTGCCATTCTTCCGCTGTTCTTGCACACCGAAGCATGGTGGAGGCCCCAGGACCTGTCCCTAATATCCAGGCAGCCCGGTGCAGAGACAGCGCGCTGGCAGCTTCTCAGCGAGCTGCACGGGATGCAACTCGTGCGCCACGACCCTGAGGACGGATGACCAGGACCAAAAGCCCACTGTGAGCGAAGCTGGGCTCCCCGAAGCTTCAAAACTTACGTAGTAAAATCCATCTTCATCAATGTCGCCAAAAACAGTAATGATATCTCCCGTGCAGAATGTAAGTTCGGCCTGTGGAGACGGAACGCCAAGTCAGTAGCATCCTGCTAGACAGGTAATTGTTTTTAAAAATAAGTTCTTGGTGCTGTCCCTGACTACTGGAGACCCCTGGGCATCCTCCTGCTCCTCCCGTGGAGGGGTGGAGCTGCCAGCCAGCCCTGCTGAAGATTCAGGGTCACCCGCACAATGCAGGTGGTTCAATCTGAAACTGCGGTAGCACCGTGGGTCCTGGCCAGGCCGATGACACAGAGGCCACAGGCAGACAACTACAAAACTAGACCTGGGCAGCTGCAAAGGCCTGTGATGCAGGCCTGCTCCCCCTCAAGTGAGGCCCAGCACCAGGCGCCCCCTGCTGGTGGTAGGAGCCCTACCCTGTCCAGGTGCCATCCACCCAAGAGGCTGGTGTCATCCAGCCTGGCACGGGCGGCCCGTGCAGGCACAGTGCCCTGTCCTCAGGGATCCACTGTCCCCATGCGCTCCAGAACACAGACTGACACGAGATAGAAGACACAACAGTCCTTAAAATTTCTAAACATGGAATCAAGGGCTAAAGGTCATGGGCAGTGGCTGGCCAGAGGCAGAGGATGCACAGCCCCCGGACCACATGGCAGCCCCGAGGACAGAGCGCATCCAGCCTGTGCTGTGTGGCTTGGGACGCCGCCTGCCCTGGCTCACTGCCCATCATGTGACAGTGGCCTGGCAGCCAGCTCTGCCACAGGAACTTCCCTCCTGCACATCCCTCCAGAGGTAAGGCTGTGGCTCACAGGCCTCTCTGTCAGTGTGGGATGGGGACAGCTGGGTTGGGGACAGCTGGCCGGGACAGTGAGGCCTCCTTGGGGCCCCTACAAAACGGTATTTCTGATAGGCACAGCCTGTGGCGCAGTGTGACATAAAACAGCCCCTGAGGGTTCCTGGCCCCAAGCAGCACACAGCTGAGTTATGGCCCAAACTGGAGTACTTAGGTCAGTGGCCACAGGATGGGAACAGGAACAATGAGGGGTTGGGAGGGGAACATGGGGGCCATGGGGGTGGGCGGGGGTGAGCTGCCTTGGGCAAACAACACTTAAACACCGACACACTGCTAGTGTCTGGAATTTTTCACAAGTGCTCTGGCGAGCAGCTGACCATGGACTCAGGGAACACTGTGTCTGCCACACCCTGAGGGGCCACAGTTCTTAACCCCGCCACCTATCAGTGTGGGTGCAGGGTGTGGTCACGCCCAAGACCTCACTGTACCTCCACGTCCACATTAGGTGAGCTCTCTCGTGGGTCATAGTCGTACAGGGCCACCATTCTCCGTGTGGACACCGAGTGAGGCCTGCCGCTCCTCCTGCTCCTCTCTGTGACCAGACAAGGGGAGAAAGGGGTTGCTGTGACATCACCTCCCCCCACGGTCCCCTGCCCAGCCCAGCCCTGTGCCAGGTGCCTGCCCCCTCTGGGGGCCTGGGCCAACAGCCCTGCCCTCTGTGGCAGCAGGCACGACCCCGTGACCCTCGCACACATGCCATGCTAGGTGGGCGCTCACGGTCCACACGGAAGAGCACTTGCAGCTCCGGCCACATCTCACAAGCTGGGCCAAGCCACTTGGCCCTTGCATGCCCGCTGCAGTACCTGTCTTCTCCACCGGGGTGTGGAGGGGCAGGAAGCCCTGGCGCAGCAGCTGGCCCCGCATCTCCTCGTCGTCCGCCTGGATCTCGGACACCATGTTGCAGGGAATGAGGCCAAGCCGGGCACAGGTCTCCCCGCGGTAAAACCCGTCAGCATCCTTGTCACCATACACCTGCAGGGGGGCAGGCTGATTCCTCACCCGCAGGCCTTCCTGTTGCCCCCTGCAAGCTCACCAGGGCTCCCGCCACCCTGCCGCCTCTGCCCCCCCATCCCCAAGGCTCCCAGTGCCACAGGATGCCACCCATGCAGGAGAACCGCAGCCCTCCTCAGGACGCGCCCCCGGCCAGCTGCACCGGGCCCCACCTTGATGATCTGGCCTTCCTTGAAGGGCAGCTCCTCCTCCGCGGCGTCAGGGTTAGGGGACATGGTGAGCGGGTCGTAGTCGAAGAGAGCCACAAAGATTCGGGCCGGGAGCTCCTCAGAGCCCGGGTCCATCTCTGACTCATCATAGAAGTCTGGGGAGAGACGGTCGTGCCCGGTGTAGTCATCTGGGAGTGGGTGGGGAGAAACGGAGGCCCCGGTGACCCTGTGCAACCCAGGAGCTTGGGCGGGGGCAGGGCGGCACAGCTTGAGCTGTGGGCCAGTGGCCGCCTCTCCCTGCCCTCAGGACTGCCGCTCCTGGACTCAGAGCAGGCAGAAGCTTCCCGCACGCCTGGGCCTCAGGCAGGAGGAAGGGCAGTGGCCAGGCGCCCGAGCCACACCCCCTTCCCCATGACCACAGCTCCGCGGCAGAGCAGGGCTTGAACTCTGCGGGCACCTGCCTCCTGCAGTGACCCTGTCTGACATGCTGACCCCAGTGACCCAGGGACACCAGACTCCTTGACATTGCATCCCTGCACAGAATGGGGCGGGCGGTGTGCGGGCACCACAACTGGCTGCACTCCCTGCACAGCACACAAGACGTCAGTGCTTGCTCTGCGCTGCCTAGGGAATCACCGTGAGGAGGAGGCCCATGCGCGCCCCACCCAGGCGCGGCTCTCCATACTCAGAGGCAGCAGCAGACACGGGGTCACATGTCTGTGTCCTTGTGTCTTTGTAAGAGGCAGAGACAGACTGGAGGGCAGCCCTGTCCGTGTCCTGCCCACTGGTCCCTGGCGTGGGTCACAGAGTGGGCAGGAAGAACACAGCTATGGGAGGGCAGCGCCAGGGTGGGGACCTGTGGCTGGCCTGTTCCCCAGCACAAAGTTCAGTTTAAAAGCAAAATGGGCAGCGGCTGCGGGACGGCTCCCCTGGACTGCGAGGCCTCGGGGCCTGGCAGAGGCGTCCTGTTTCAGCCCCGTTTGCTGGAAGTGTGATTTTTGCTGAGAGCCAAGTTTTTCAGCAACAGGCTTGGCCAACATCTTCATGGAGGCTTTGACTTTCATAATAAGGGAAGAGACTGGTTCTCTGTTAACTGTTTTTAAGGATTTCTATGACAAAAATAAAAAGTGTAAAACTGGGAGAAGAAACACGTCTTACACTGCTTGCAGCGTCAGTAAAGAAGGGGCGCAGAGGCGGGGCGGAGACCCGCTCGCTGGGGTGCACTCCCCTTCCCTCAGAACAGCCTCCCTCAGCCCTGGTGTTCTCTCTGCTGTTTCCTGTGCGTGTGTCTGTGTCTATGTGTGTGTATGCACACATGTGGGCACATGTGAGTTCACAAAAGATCTGATTCTAGGCTCCACGACTGTGTTAGCAGCTCGTAGAATCAATGCTGCCCACCACCCGTGGTGGAGCACGCCCATGATCACAGTACTTGGGAGGCTGAGGCAGGAGGATCACTTGGAGTTCAAGGCCAGCCTGGGCTACATAGCAAGACCCTGTCTCCAAAAAAATAAGCAAAATAAATGAGGAACCGCTGCTGCCCTGACTGCAGGGCACCAAGAGAAGTGTCCCACCCGACCCTCCACTGACCCCCTTGCCTGGTCACCGACTTCCAGAAAGCATCAGGAGAAGGGGCAGACCAGCCCCATGAGGGGAAGGCGAGCCACACTGGGTGGGCCCCACCGGGCAGAGAATCCCGGCTTCCCAGCCCAAGCCTCCTGTGCCCCCATGACCCAAGGCTCGCCCAGATCTCTGGGGCCGGCCACCTCCAGCTCTGCTCTGGCTCAGGCTTTGGCCCTCGCTGAGCACTGGCACCTTAGAGGCCACGCTGGGAAGCCGCTGCGTGTGCCTGGCCCGCGTCCCTCTGCACCAGGACGAGCCACCGACCCTAAAGGTCACAGAACCAGCGTCTGGCGGGCCACTCACCGATGGGCAGCCGGGGCCTCTGGGGACCGGCGCCGCCGTGGGGGAACCTCCGGCTCCCGCGCTCCACCCTCTCCGCGCGTCCTGCCGACGCTGGGTTGCCTAGGATCTGGGGGTGAGACAGCGATACAGTCACGGGGTCGCTGGCCTTCGGAAGCAAGAGCAGGTCCGTGAGATCAACCCGGGTCGGAAGCGAAGCTGTAAAGGCAACTCAGCTTAGCTTTTAACTGAACGGTTAGCTGAATGGTCAGCTCACCCGCACCCCAGCGGGGACCTTCTGACCACTGCGAGACCTGAGGTGGCCATTACTGCTGCCAAAATCGAATATTCGCTTAGACTGAGGATGCTCTAGATGCAACCCAGTACACGGTGGGTCGCAGGTGTGACCACGCGGGCCCTCCTCTGGCAGTCCACGCCCTGACACCAGCTGCCACACAGCAGGATGGCGCCACAGGGCCCCGCCTTGGCTTGGCAGGAGTGGTATGTGGTGGCGCCCATCACCAGCTCGGGGGACCCTACATGCCAGCCCGAGCCTCAAGGCGCCACCATGCGCTAGGCGGCCCGAGGGCCTCCTTTCAGGGCCTACAGCAGGGCGCCGGGCTCGCTGGGACGTGCACAAGGGCCCCTTGTCCTGAAAGCAGCAGAGCCCCAAGGAGGCCGCGGCAGGGAATCCGAGTGGCGCCCTCGTGTGGGCACGTTACAGCGCGCAGGGGCCCGCTCCTGCCTGCCCGCCTGGGCGTCCCCAGGCTCAGCGTGACCCGGAGGGACCGGGCCTCGGGCTCACCGGGCAGAAGCAGCTGAAGACGGGAAGAGATGAACCGGCCTGCGCAAAAGCGACTTCCCTCACTGACACACTCCATGTGGTAAAATGGTCGGCGAGGACAGAAGGGGAAGCAACACAAAAAGCGAAAAGGGCAGGGACAAAATAATGCCAGGGGTCACCTCGGCCTCTACGGGTGGCTCTGGAAATACGGACTGTGCCGTTCAGCTAACCCTTCATTAAAATTTAGGCTCAGTTGTCCTTTAATCGAAGCAGCCAGAATCACCATCCTGTGGAGGAAACCATCATCGAGAGCAAAGGAAACACGTCGCCTGCGCGGCAAGCGATGCGACGGACCAACCAAAAGCGCGGGAGAGCCAAGCGCCCAGAGGCCCGCGGGGACGCGCGCGGCCAGGCAAGCGGGAGGGGAGCGGCACACACCCGGGGACCGTCCGCCGCCCGGGGAGGCGGCCCGCGCTGGATGGCCGCCCTACTGTCCGGCCCGGCCGCGCCTTTCCACCAGACACCCCGAAAACCGTCGTGGTCGCTGGCCGCGTCCCAGCCCTGCTTCCTGGGCGCCGACCTCTCCGGGCTGGCTGGGAAGTCATCGCTCCTGACGCCGCCCCCGGGGTCCTCCTGCTCGCCAAAGTCCTCTTCAATGCTGCTCTGCCGGGTCAGCGTCCGCCGCCGGGCCAGCAGGGGCCGCGCGCTTCTCCAACAGGTGCACTGGCCAGGGCCCGGGCTGCACTTGGCTTCGGGGTTCCCGAAACTACTCCGCAGCTCCTCCTCCTCGCTGCCACAGTCTAGGCCACTGTCGGGGCTCCGGGTGGCCCAGCGGCCCAGCCGGCCACCTCTGTCTTCCAGGAGCAGATCATCCGCGTGGGTGACCCCTCGGGGAACCCTGTGCTTGGTGGAGAACCAGGAGCCGGGTGGCGCTGGGGGGCCCCAGCAGGGTGGGGCAGGGCTGTGCCGCGCGGCCAGCAGGACCCTGGCTCTGGACGCCCTGGGGCCCTGCCGGAGCAGCGGCCGGCAGGGGTCCGGATCCTCCTCTGCTACCTCGGGGATACTGAAAAGCCTCTTACTGCGCCGGGGGGCCTGGGGGGGCTCGGCCTGCTCCAGGAACGCACCTTCCGGGCTGCCAGGCTTATAGCACTCCTTGGGGATGGGGGACAGAATGGTGGCCACGCGTGGGACAAGGGGACGGAGGAAGGAAAGAAAACACAGACACATTAGTGGTGGCGGTAAGGCGGGCAGACACATGCTTCTGCTCCAGGTGAGCGGGTGGTCGGGGAGGAGCCGGGCGCAGGCGGGGACAGCACCAGGGAGCGGGCGCCATGCACGTAGCCAGAGGTGACGCTCAGACATGAGGAGGGGTGCAGGCAGGGCTGCAGGGCCTGTGGAACGCTCACAGGTGGGGTGTCCTTTCCCCTGCCCTGAGCACTGCCACAGCGCCCCTTCTCCTGCTAGAGCTGAGCTGCAGGAGGCCAGGCCGTTCCCATCGCGCGTCTGCGGCCCAAGCTCGGTGTCCTGTGGTGACGGGGAGCCTCTGCCCTGCTGCCCTGCACGGGGCTGCCACCCGGACTGCCGTGAGGATGCTGCATGCACTCAGCCCCTCACACGGCTCCTTGCCCTGAACCCCAGGCCTCAGTCTCCCCAAGCACATATAAGCTGAACTGCCTCCCTGGAGGCCTGGGCTCCTATTGTGGGCAGGGTCTGCTGTGTCTGCGCACACGCGCGCACTGTGTGTCTATGTGTGTGTGTGTGCGCACGCACGCGTGCGCGTGTGGTTCAGGGTGATTATTCCTGGGATAGTTCTGATACCATATGAGAAAGGACAATGACAACCCCCCAGGAACAGGGAAGGCGCTGGGTGCTTTGGGAGTGAGCAGGTACTGGGGTGAGTGGTTTGGGCCAGAGGAAGGCAGACACGTCTGATCCCACGAGCTCACTGCCACACAGGAGCACCAGCTTGCACCACTTCCCAGGCAGCTTCTGGAGAACCTAGAGGCTGAGCTGGCCTGAAGCAACCCCTGCCCCTAACACCAGGGGCCACAGGCGGGATGTGGATCGCTGCAGGGGGGCAGGAGGAATGGTGACCCCAGAGCTTTGCCCCTGGGCTTCCCCAGGGGAGGCGGCAGCCTCCAGTCTCTGTGAAAGTGGCCCTGACCTGCACCCTGAGCAGCAGCCTTGGGAAGAGGGCACATTGTGCATGCTGCCCCTCACCTCCACACAGCGGCAAGAAGTCCAGACCCGGGTGCAGCCCAAGAGGGCACGAGGCACGGGGCAGAGGGGAGGGCTGGCCAGTGGGGCTGTTGGCCACGAGGCCAGTGAGCTGGGGGCGGGGCCTCAGGTGCCGTGCAGGGGTCTGCATAGGGATCTGGAATGTTCCAGCGCAGAGGGAACATCCATCAGTCTGTCTATGCAGGGCCACACCTTGGGGAACCAGGCCAACACCCTCTGCAGCATTCCACATGCATGTGGTGCCCTGGGCCCTGGACAAGCTCCTCTCCAGGCCCTTCCATGCCGGAATCCCCAGCCACAGGGCCTCCAGCTGCTTGGCCCTGCACCTGCCTCCTGGGTCTCGCTCAGTGACAGAATCGCACGGGAGCTGGTGCTGGCCCAGCCGCAGCTGTGGGGCGAAGGTCCCCGCGGGCACAGGGGGGACACCCTGCTCACTCGGACTGTGTCCTAGCAGCAGCCTCTCCCAACGGCCTCAGGGAGGATGCAAGGTCTGGGTCTATGCATGGACGAGCACCCAGTCTCCCTGATTCGACTCCTGTCACAGAGCGGGGCACCCCAGGATGCCACAGGGGTCCCCCAAACTCCTGTACCCACACTGTTCTGTGACATGGCCAGGAGCTACAGGAGTCCTGCAGCAATTTCAACAGTGAGAAAGAAGCGAGGAGCCCACACCCGCAGCCTCTGTCACAGGGCGCGGCCCGGCACGGGGCAGTGCAGCTTTCTGCCCGTCCCGCCCACCCCCACCTGCCCCAGCCCACCCTCTCACCTTGAGGGCACCATGGGAGGTGCTGCTGGGCCGCCGGCGGCCACCATCCTCCAGCTGCATCTCCGAGTATAGCTCCTCCTCGTCCTCCTCCAGGATGTCTGACAGGTCTGAGCCCCGGCTGCTTTCTGTGTGGTACTCATCTCCGTGACAACAGTGGGGCTGTGGGGGACAGGAGCAGAGTGAAGGGACAGCTCTGACCCCAGCAGTCCCCATTTGGCATTCGCTTTCCCCAGGGGGCGGGGGCATGGGGTTCCAGGCAGCCCCTGGCCACCATGAGGAGAGCACCCCTCCACCAAGATGTTCCCCCACACCCTTCTGCCTTGGAGCAGCTGACCAAGGACTGTAACCTCTGAAACCATAAGCCAAACAGGACAGTGCTACAGCACAGGGAAAGTGACCAAGACACCAGCACACGACTGGTGTCCAGTAAATGTTGTCCACCAGTGGACACAAACTCACACACGAACCAGTGGGCGCTGGCAACTGACCCTCTCCTGTTCTGACCCAAGGACCTGCCCAGGTGAGGTTCTGGCGCAGCTGGGACGCCGCCATACTGCTCCAGAATGAGGTGGCACAGGCTCTCCTGCGCACTCCAGCCTCGGCGCTGGCAGGACTGCTGCGGCCGGCTGGCTGTTCTCTCTCCCCTGCCTCCACCGTGGCCGCCAGCCTCACCTGCCTGCCCAGCTCAGACCCCTTCAGGAAGTCATCCACAGACGGGCCCCTCCGCTTGAGCTCAGGTGAGGCGTAGCCATCCTCCTCATCTGAGTTGGCATAGGGCTCCGCGCTGCTCCTCTCCAGAAAGAAGCTCCTTTTCTCTAACTTGGAAAGAGAGGGGATGAGGTGAGCTGGGCAATGGGGGACAGCCACTCCCTTGGCGCTTCTCCCCAGTGCCCTGTGGGGCAAGGAGCCCTGTCCACACTCAGGCAAGTACAGTAGCGACCCCCCGAGCAGCCCAGTCTACTCAAGAGTGCATCTGCTTGAGCCCCTGCCGCTGCAGTGTCCTGCTCCCAGGAGGCTGTCCTCTCCCCCATGGGCCTCCCTGGCCCACTTGCATTCCATCAGCCAACACGTCTCCTTTTAGCTTTTGGCCTTGCTTTTTTGTTGTTGTTGTTGTTGTTTCTGTTTTTAGTGCCAGGATCAAACCTAGGGCCTTTAAACTCTCTGTGACAGATCTAAGCCCTTAATTGTCCAAGCTGGTCTCAAACCTGGGATCCTTCTGCCTCAGCTTCCCAGAGTGCTGCGATTACAGGTGTGCCCACTCCCTCACCCCTGCCAACCCAGCTAATGACAGTTCTTAGCTCTTAATGCTTGGTCCTTGGAGACATCCCTGGGGCTGCAGCCCCGCCCCAGCTGCCACCTGCTGTGAGCTCTGAAGCTGGCCCTCCAAGCAGAAGTCGCAAGTTCATGGGCTGCTATTGTCTCAAAGGAGAAACTGAGGCTCACAGCAAACATCTGGGCGCCTTGTAAGGCTGGCGGCCCCGGGCAGCTCCAGCACCACACAGGTGGCCCTGACCTGTCTCACCGCGCACCTCGGGCTGCGGCCCCACGCTGGCCCCTTCGCCGCACGCAGGGTGGCAGTGTCATGCAGATGAGTGTGCGCACACGCCCACCCCATGTGCAGCTCTCCCCGCAGGGGCGTGCGGCTGTGGTCCAAAGCACAGAGCTGCGCTGCAACACAGCCGTCCTCGCTCTCCTCACGCACACTCGCCCCGCCGGCCCCGCCTCTCTGCAGTGGCTCTGGGGCCCTCTTCCCTCAGCGCCCTGCATGGATTCAAGGCGTCTCCCTCTTAGGGTCATTTTGACTTAGGGGCACAGCCAGAAGCCACGCAGTGCCGAGTCCAGTGAGGGAGGCGGACGAGGGCGCAGCGTTGTGGTTTTACTCGACAGAAATAGCCCTAGACATCTTGAAACAATGACATAGGTGGGTTTGAAACAGGGTAGCTATTCTGAAGGGGACTCATAGCAGTGTGTCTTTTGCTGTCATACAGTTTTAAATTTTTAACTTGGACAGTCATTGTGTGTCTTGGGCCTTGTATGTGCACGTGCCTGCGTGGAGAATCTGTTCACATGCGAGCACCCACTACACACACACGCTCACACGCACACACGTGCCTACACACATGCACATACCCATGTGCATGCATTGTTCACACACCTACAGGCACTGCATGCATGCTCACATGCCTACATACATGTGCACACCCATGTGCTCGTATGCAAATATGCATTGCATGCATGCTCACACATGCCTGTGAGCATGCACACACCCATGCGTATGTGCACACACACCAACATGCATGTGCACACATGCACACATACACCTATGTGCACGCACACTCGTGTGCTCACACACGTGCCAGATAGAAGCCTGAAGTGAGCAGCAGCCCAGGCCACTGTCAGCGTGTGGCTCAGACGCCGGCCAGGAGCACAGCTGCACTGGGGCCCCGTCCCCCCCCCTCCGGGCTCTGCAGCGGCTCGTGGGCAGAGCAGGAGCAGGGCACAGCCCAGTTAGGACTGGGCACACATCATCCCAGGACAGCTCAGGTGAGTGCAGCGCCCTTCCATCGGTCTGCAGCCTGGTCTGGGGGCGCATAGCTATAGCCATCCCCACCACCATGTGCCCCATGCAGAGGAACAGAGGGAAGAACCCCTGGAAGAACCCCAGCTTACCCTGCTGCTCTCGGCCACCCTCTGGGCAGCCTCACGGGCCATGGCCTTAGCAACGGAGGTGGACACAGGGGCTCCCTGTGGCTGTGGGAGGATGCGGCTAGGTGAAGGTGACCTCCGCCCAGGGGTGGCACCCTGCAGGCCAGGCGGCTCCAGCAGGTTTCCGTGTGCAGGTGCAGGGGACCGGCTCTGCTCCCAGGTCTCCGCCTTGGTGTGGAAGCCCAGGTGATCATCTTTGGTATCAGGGGTGCTGGCTAATGGCTTCGGTGGGGGCACTGCCCTGGGGGCGGGGGCTGGAGGCACCAGGAGGTCTGGGGGCACAGGAGCTGGTGCTGAGTCTGCAGACTCGCCCTGGGCAGAGAGGGTCCGCACAGTCACAGCCTTCGCCTCCAGGCCACGCAGCCGCCCGAGCTCCACAGGGGTGCTGTCTGCAGTGGGGAAGATGACCTCGGCCACCTGCGCAGAAACAAGGCCAGCTGAGCGCTGCTGGCCTCCCACAGCTGTCTTCTGCCCCTCAAGGAAGGACAAGGCCCAGACATCTTGCTCAAGGCGGCCTCAGCCAGAAGCCCAGGGGTCTAGAGAGTAGGGGACCAGGAGGTACACAGGCCAGGACACACCCAGCCGGAAGGCCCAGCCGGCAGCACTCCTATCCTCCTCAGGACTGACCCAGAGCCAGATGCGTGCACAGGGGACACTCTTCCTGCTGTGCTGGAGGGGCAGGAGCAGGGGCACCACCCGGCACCTTCCCACGGAAGGCAGCTCATGCCCACCCCTACCCTGTGAATCTCATCCATCGCTCCTGACAGGACAGGATGGAGACACCTTGCCTGCCCTCCCAGTGCTGGGAGGGTGGTGGGCTGAGACGGTCGACCCTGCTTCCCAGAGTCTGGGGTCTGGCCACCTGCCTGTGAGTCATCCCTGCCAGGTCTCCGAGGAGCGACCCTAGTGCTGGGGTCCAACCTAGAGCAGAGCCAGTCACAGGGGTCCAGCACCCAAGCCAGTGGGCCCTGAGGTACAGTGCGGGTGGCCTTTTGTAAATAATGGAGGCATCTGGCAGCTGAGGATTCGCCTGAACTGCCCCCGTGTAGGGAACAGGTCACCCCATCTCAGCTGCGGAGTGGGACTCTGCCCATCGGGGCCCCCACCCAAGCCACTTACCCGCTGCCCCTTGGCGTACACGCCGTAGCCAGTGACGTTTGCTCCATTGGACAGCCCAGTGGGGGTCAGTACAGGCGGCTTCCAGGAGACCTGGACAGTGGCTGCTGTGGCCCCTGCTTGGACAGTGACATCTTGTGGGGGGACCGGGGGCCCTGGGAGGGACAGAAGGAATAGTGGCCTTCAAGACTGGCCTGCTGAGTGGCTGTTACTGCCCCATGGTCCTTCCTGGAAGACAGGTGACACCTTGATGTAGAGGCAACGGAGACAAGCGGCCAGCGGAGGTAGCAGCACTGGCTGGTGCCGGGCACACGGTCTCCACACGGCCTCTACTCGCCTCCTTTGGGAAAGCACCTGTGCTCTCAGTTGTCCAGTCACCTCCAGCTGTGCCCAGTCAGTCACCTCTGCCTGGGGACAGGTGACCAGGGACAGCTTGGGGAGGGCAGGAGGATGACAGGGGAAAGAGCCTCCCTGTCCCACCCTCCGCTGTCCCCAGCCCTCTCGTCAATCTTCATCAGATCCCGGGGACAGCAAGCCTGCACCCAACATCAGCACAGTACCACACTGTGCATCTAAGCAAAACCAAGAGCCCGAGCTCCCCTGGGCTGCCAGGCCGCGGCCGCTCCGCACTGCTCCCGGGCACCCAGGCTGGCCACCTGCTCTGGGCCAGTGCTCCATGAGCTATGCTTACCGATCCAACAAGAGAAGCTGTCATGAGCCCCAAGCTTGGGGACAGGTAAGCAGTAGCCATGTCACCAGGTATGGCAGGTGGCTTCAGAAACAGTGAGCAGCCAGCCCTGTCTGGACGATCAAGGAAGCGCCCTTCCTTCTAGGCCTGGGAAATCCTCACTGCTTCCCACTAGAAAGCACAGATCCCTGCCCGCGGAAGGAACACCGCGGCCCCAGAGTGGGCACTGGCCCGAACACGCCCGCGCTGTGGCAAAGCTCCCCAAGCCTTCTTCTCACCCTGTGCAGAAGCCCAGCCCGCCTGCTTCACACACCACCCCACGGTGACTGCCAGCTGCTTCTCAGTGGAACAACTGACACAGCCGCTGCTGCCCACAAGGGCTTTCTCTCCATGACCACGACCAGCAGCTGTGTCCACTCAGAACACACAACGCAGGGGGACCACGCATGGCCAAGAATGTGGGCGCTGGAGTCTGTCGGCCTGGCTGCAAGCCCCAGCTCGGCCTACGACTGTGACAGCCCGGAGGCAGCCTCCCTGCCTGTCAACTGCCATACATGTCAAACAGACATAAGGCAGCATCTGTGGTGACAGAGCATCCCCACAAGGGACCGTAGCAGAGGTGGCAGCAACCACCCTTCCTCAGCCCCACAGGACCCTACGTCCTCCCCGCCAGGTTTCCTGGCAAAAGAGGATGGAAAGAGATAGAGATAATGGGTGAAGGAACAACGGGGCGTAAGGAGTAATCGAACCAACTATGAAGAAACCAAATGAAATCCAAGAGCAGAAAAATGCAGTTAGCAAGATTTTAAAAACCTTCATCTGGTGGCCTGAGCAGCAGACCGGGCCCCCAGGGGAAGAACCAGGAGACACAGAGACAGCCCAGTGGAGACAGCTCTGGGGCACAGCGACGACCGCAGGCTCCGAGCAGCAGCAGAACAACATCCGCATACCGCAGCAAACTGCCTTGCCCGGTGTCGCCCGGTGTACAGCTCCAGGCTCCGAAAGAGAAGACAGGACAGGGCAAAAGAAACATGCGGAGCTGTGCCGGAAATCTGGAGAATGTTACTCGGGATCTGGAAATCTCAGTGAAAACTGGGAAAGTATAACTACAATCAAGTACAGGCACATCAGACTCCAACTCCTGGTGCTCAAAGATAAAGAAAGGGGCAGAAAAGCACTCGGGTCTTCAGAAAGGAAGGGCAGGGAGTGGCCGCTGACCCACCACAGCAGCGAGAAGGGCCACGGGTGGCAGGAGGGTGCATGCGGGGCCCGCACAAGAGCACAAGTGGCAGTGCAGGCACACGCCACTTCGGACCGACAGGAGCACGCCAAAGCTGTTCAAAGGGAAAGCCTCCAGGCTGAAAGGAGACAACCCGAGCCAAAATGCAGACCCACGGCAGGAATGAAAAGGACAGTGGAAACGGTAAAGATGAAACTATATTTTCCAAATTCTTCAGAGATAAGCAAATAGCAATATCCTGAGGGAAGGGCTGGCCAAATAGCTCAGCAGATTAAAGGCCAGGGTTCGATCCCCGGGCCTGCTGTGCTGGCCCCACCCCCGGGATGTGCTGAGATGGCAATTGAGACTGGGCATGGTGGCACACGCTGTAATCCCAGCTCTTAGGAGGCTGTAAACAGTCGGATCTCTACAAGTCTGATCTAGTAGTGAGACCCTGAACACCCTGTAGACCCTTCCCTAAAATACAAAAAATAAAAAATAAAATAAAATAAAAAATCCCGAGGGAATTGTAACATGTAAAAGTAAATTATACCAAAACAACAGCAAAATCAAAAGAAGACAAATAGAATTGTAATGTTAGGGCTGGAGAGTTAGCTCAGTGGAATAAGTGCTTTCCTGGCAAGCGCAAGGTCCTGAGTTCCATCCCTGGTACCACACACAAAAAAAAGTTATGTAATTCTTTCACTATAAATAAATTGGTAGGGCTGGCGAGATAGCTCAGCAGATTCAGCGCCTGCTTAGGCAAGCACAGGGCCATGCCAGCCCCACCCCTGGGCACACTGAGCCATTTACCAAGTCCAGGCATGGTGGTGCACACCTATAATCCCAGCACTGGGGGGGATGAAAACAGGAGAACCCCTACAAGTCCAAGCTGTGGGGTGAAATGACCCTGTACCAAACACATGAATGAAAGAAAGAAAGAAAGAAAGAATGAATGAATTTTAAATAAATGTCTAAGTTTTTGCTTAGAAAATGTAGGGGTTTGGGGCCAGAGACATGGCTCAGTAGAATAAGCACTTGCCTGGCAAGTGCAAGCGCCTGAGTTCAATCCCCTGTTCCGCAAAAAAAAAAAAAAGAAAAGAAAGAAAGAAAGAAAGAAAGAAAGAAAAGAATCAACAAATGGGATCGTGTCAGATTAGAAAGCTTCTGCACAGCAAATGAAGCCACCAACAGAGTGAAGAGACAGCCTACAAAATGGGAGAAAAAAATTCCCAGCTATTCCCCTGACAGAGGATTAATATACATAAAGAACTACAAAAAATAGGCCCCAAATAAAAACCAAATA